TCTGTCATGTGTTTGACATGGGAATAGAAATATATCATGTGTTTGACATGGGAATATAAATATATCGTGTGTTTGACATGTGAATAGAAATATATCGTGAGTTTGACATGGGAATATAAATATATCGTGTGTTTGACATGGGAATATAAATATATCGTGTATCTGACATGGGAATATAAATATATCGTGTGTTTGAAATGGGAATATAAATATATTGTGTGTTTGACATGGGAATATAAATATATCGTGTGTTTGACATGGGAATAGAAATATATCGTGTATCTGACATGGAAATAGAAATATATCGTGTGTTTGACATGGGCACATAAATATATCGTGTGTTTGACACGGGAATATAAATATATCGTGTGTTTGACATGGGAATAGAAATCTATCATGTGTTTGACATGGGAATAGAAATCTATCATGTGTTTGACATGGGAATAGAAATATATCGTGAGTTTGACATGGGAATATAAATATATCGATATAATAATTGATATAACATCTGAAACAAACAAACAAGCAAACAAACGAAAACACTAAATGACAACAAATGAATCCGAGTCTCAATTTCCATATAAACTCACCTACGAACAAAGAAAACTACAATATGAGTTTCGGAACGACATGACTCATGGATCTTATCGGAAGCATTATAAATACCTTCATTTCGATAAATCCTCTCTTTCCGTACTTATAGTCACCAAGCTCGTCTAGGTGTGTTATAGTTGTGAGGCTTACGTGGATCCTAAGAGCTAAACATAGATGTATTTAAAAAATAAGTCAACATATTAGCGATATTGTGTGGAGCACTTTCGACTGTAGCAGCACGGTCATTTACATGCTTACGTCAACATGTTGGAGAGAATAAAACCAACATACCTTCGCCCGTAGATTCGTATCTTGATGCCGTATTCACCGTGTCACCAAACAGACAATATCGTGGCATAGTTAGGCCCACAACTCCCGCCACACATGCTCCTATCATATTTAAGACAAATGAGTATTTAAAGAAAAAAACAAAATCAAAAATTATTGCTACTACTTTAGTAGCTTGTTGGCAGTCTGTCGACAATATAGTTTGCTGGCAGTCCAACAAAATTGTCCTCATAGTGTGTCAATCGGTTCATTGAGGGCGTCCTCACAGTATATTTCGTGATCGGTAATCTGAACAATCCCGCTATGAAACCCGATTAAAGATGTCGGACAGCAAGTATATAAAGGTTTTCAAAAAGTTTACAAATTTTAGCTAATTTCATGTGCTATTTTATACACTTTTACATCATTTCGTAAAATTGAGTGAAAGTGTACGGTTAAAAAAGAACAATCATGATTGATTCTGTAATTTGTTTACAGCCTCGATTTCAGTAATGGCGTGAACTAATCATAAGACCACACTGATTTAATTTTATGGATGACATCCTCTGAAGGCCCCAAAACTAATGCGAGAGGGCGAAAAAAAAATTTGGCCAAAAAAAAAAATGCAGCTAAAACAACAGGACTACGGAGCTATTATTACGAATTTAACCACAGTGTATCAAAAAAAACAAGTCTTAATTTGTAGGAGGCACATGCTGATGTACACATTTCGTACTGTATTACTGTCACAGGTATCATCACTTTTGATTTTGAAAAGGCAAGAGGATAAGTCAGATGTTAGCTTTGCCAAAGGCATACACATCAACTCAATAATAAAGAAAAACTCACTGTGTTGTATTGAAAAAAAAAAAAATTAAAAATGAACAATAAGTTTGTCAACAGCAACCTGAAAATTAACTTCTTTGACATT